TTTCTTTATAGTCTAACTCTCACATCCATGCATGACTACTGGAAAAACCATAGCTTTGACTATATAGAAGCTATATAGAAGCCTAGAAAGTACAGAGTGATGAAAGTACAAACTATTGTGGGTCAGAGTAGAGTATAAGTGAGTCTTATGCTCAGGGTCTTCCAGGCTGAAATCAAGGTATAGACAAGGGCTACAACTGATCTGAGGTTTAGAGTTTTGTTTTGTTTTGTTTCCCCTAAGGTTACTAGTTTGGGCAGAATTCATTTCTTTAGGGCTTTATGACTGCTGGCCCTACTTACTTTGCAGGATGTTGGTCAAGGTCCAGTCTCAGTTACCATCAGTTACTATATGCATCCCAGGCAGGTGGGCTCCTACATCACAAATGTACTTCCTCAAGGCCAGGAACAATTAGTAGCTTTTACTAAACCTCACATGATTACATCAGACTCTTTAAATAAAAATCTCCCTTGTAATTAACTCAGTGTTAAGTGATTGATGACCTTGATTATATTTGCATTATATATTTTTCCATAAAACTTAGCAAATTCATGGTGTAATACTGCATTCCATGATTTCAGTTCAGAGAACCCTCACACACTCAAGGGCATACCATTATACAAGAAATTATAGAAGAGATTATATTGTCCTTGGGGGCAAGAATCTTCGGGAGAGGTTGGAATTTGGTCTACTAAAGCTGCTTCTCAGATTCCTCAAAATATAACTCTAGCTATCCATTTTTGTGCAACATTTTCTGAAAAAGTGACAAGGCCTGGAAGAGCTCAGGGAATTATTCTCTTGTATTTTATGACAAAAATTGCTCTTCCCTCTTTGAAATGAGAAAATCATTTTGCACTTAATATTTTATGTAGCTTTACATGACCTGGACCTCAGCAAAGTAAGAACAGAGAAAGTGGATAAAAAGATAGAAGCAAAAAGATAATATCTTGATTAATTCCTCCCTTTATATTCTAAAGACCATTTAAAGATATCTTATTTCATTTCCCCACAGTTGTTTTCTTACCATACTACTCCCTGCAATGTGAATTACCTCTTGAAAACTCTGGCCTTGCTAACCTTCCTTTATTGAAACATCCCTAGGAGAAGGAGCTACTCAACTAAATTCTCTTCAATCAATCATTTCCTTACTTCTCTAGAAAGGTTCATAAAATTGAATGTGCCCCAAGCAGTACCACAAAGTTTTCTATTTAATGTGGCAGAACTAAATTAACTTCATCATAATGGACTTCTGTTACAGAATATGATTCATTTCCTAACAATAACAAAAAAAAATCTATTTTTTTTTCTATACTTATTTCAAATAATAAGATTTTTGTTGATTGCAAAGTTAGGTGAACTTCATTCCTCAGCACCACCCCATCTTACCCTGAAGCCACAAAAAGTGGAGGACCGTCTGTCAGATGAGCTGGATGAAGTCAACTAGAGAGAGACTAGTATTGATTTTTTTTCTCTCTCTCTCTTTCTGAATTATCCAGTTTTATAAAATGGCATTACCTAAGGGCCAAGATCATGAAGAAGTAAGATTCTACTGTGGCATTTCTCCTACAATTTTCTTCAGTTATTTGATCACTGCAGGATGTAAGTTTTCAGTCATAAAAGAATATCTATATGTACAGAAAGTTTATTTTATCTCTCTTTATCTCCACAACCACTAAATATTTGCTGCAGTGACAGGTCAGGAGTTCTTAAAAGAAAGAAATTATGTCTGATCTCCTAAAACAAAATATAGAATAATTTTTTTTTTTTTAATTTTGCCTTCATGTCTGAGCTTGAAATGACTTTTGAAGTGGGGAGACATGTTCATCAGTGGCAAGTCCATAACAGTGGCATGTTTGTTAAGTAGGTAAATAAAACTGAGATCTTGTCAAGAAAGAATTTGCCTAATCCCACAATCAGAAGCCTTCCAATATCTGGTAGAAGTAGAGAGGGAAAGGAAGAATAGCTGGTACCCACTTTTTGATTTTAAGGGAGTTAATTCTGGTCCAGAGAAGGGCATAAGTGTCAGCCAAGGCAGATCAAATAGCTTTCTAGACAAACGGACCAAAGGTGAAGTCAAAATTGTCTTACACCAGAAGTTACGGATAACTATGATAAATATTATATTGTTTAACATTTATGGAGCATTTGGAGTTTGTAAAAGCAAACTATATTTTATAAGTTACCTTAAACTAGCTTGTGTAGCTTATAAATTATGCATAACTCAGCTATCTTTTTAGCATCCAATTTCCATTGAATACATCAAAAGATGCAGGACTCAGTACTTCTACAAACAACTCAGTCATTAAACAAGATGGAAAACCTTATTATCTTTGTCTCTTCTGTCCTTCTGGAATGCTTTCCAGGTCTTATTACCATGTAGAGAATCAATATCTTTTAACATTAATTTAATTTTGAATGGTTTCACTTGTTAGAAACTTCTTCCTTTTTACCTTAAAATTGACATATTTAGTAAACTAAATTATTGTTAACTCCCCATTGAAAGACTTACAGAGTATATCAAACTGATGCTCAACATGAGAGCCCTTCAATATTTGAAAAGGTTTATCCTTTTTTGTCTTGATCTTCTTCATTCTAGGTAAGCAATCTCAGTAATTTTAACAGTTTTGTGTTTTTGGTTTGAATGATATTTGCTATCCTCTTCTGGCAATTGGTTGTCTTTTCTTGAGCCCGATTCCTTTAACAAAAAACAGTAGTTTAAGCTGTAGACTGATCAAACCAGTAGCATTATGGGACCATCTCTTTATTGAGATACTATGTTTCTATCTGTGTAACCAACAGCCACAATATCAACCATGGCATATTATGCAATAACTCTACTTATGTTTATATTAGTTTTAAGACAAATGAAAAGTCTTAAAAAGAAGGAGATGGAAGGTGAAGAAAGTCAGTACTATATGTAAAAACTTATGAATAATGAATAAATGAATAAATGAAAATATAAAAACTAAAAGCATTGAATCCAAGGCAAATAAATATATGAGTAAAAACTGGACTAATTAAACAAAGTAAAGGGAATAATTACAGGGAAAATAAAGATAGATCCCCCTGAGTGGAAGTTACTGTGAAAGAGACTTTATTTCAAGTCTGAGAAGTGTTACTGTTTGCTATAATAAACTTGATTAATTTGCGATGTTTTGATTTCACAGCAATTTTTTTTTCCTTTCCTTTTCCCTTCTTCACAGGAAATGCATATAACAGCAATCTAGTCCTTAAAGGAATGAAAGGTGCCCACTTTATTTCCCTCCGGTGTACTAAGGCCAAAAAGGGATGTGTCAGCACAACAATTAGCACATCATTGGAGTCATCCTGCTGCTGCTGCAAAGTCACTTCAGTCGTGTCCGAGACTCTGTGTGACCCCGTAGACATCAGCCCACCAGGCTCCCCCGTCCCTGGGATTCTCCAGGCAAGGACACTGGAGTGGGTGGCCACTGCCTCCTCATAATGGAGTCATACTAGAGGGAATTAACTGAGAAAGCAGAAACTTCTAAAGGTCCCAGAAAATCACTGTGTTAATTAACTATATTCATGTTAATTTCATGTTGTCTTAGTTTGTCACAGGTGATTAGAAGTCAGAGCAAGTGACCTTAAAGTTTTTGTTTTAATTAAGCACTGCAGCAGCAGCATATTTCTATAATGTAATATTTCCAGTTAATGGGAACAGAAAACTAATATTCAGAAAAAGGGTAAATGTAAGCAAAGTGAAAAATTAAGGATCATGACTCCAGGGACAAATTACATCTAAATATTCTGTCTAATACTGTTATTTAATTATACATGCTCAAAGCCTTAATGCTTGGTCAAATATCCTGATAATGCATTATAGTCCCTACCAATTACATGTGTAAAGCTGACAAATATAAAGCCCCCAAACTAGACCTTGCTGCTGGGAAAGACTGAAGGCCCAAGGAGAAGAGGACAAGAGAGGATGAGATGGTTGGATGGCATAACCAACTCAATGCTCATGAGTTTGAGCAAACTCGGGGAGGCAGTGAAGGACACGGGGAAGCCTGGCGTGCTGCAGTCTGCGGGGTCACAAAGACTCAGACAGGACTTAGAAACGGACCTTAGCAACATACATAGACCTTCTACAGCAAAAACACTTAGGCATTCAAAAGTATTTAATAGAAAAGGGTATTATCATCAAAATAATAAAAATGATACAACAACAACAACAAAATACATTTCGACACACCAAATTCTCAGCTGAAATAGAAAAAGAAAAGATTAATTTCCATTTTGTTGTATTTGTAATTACTGCTTTGATCCACCAGATGTCAGGATTGGATAAGACCAGAAAATACTTCATAGCTAGTTGCTCTTTTGTGGTAACTAGTCACAGGAAAGGAATAAGCCCTTCCTAGGACTTCCCTGGAGAAGGCAATGGCAACCTACTCCAGTACTCTTGTCTGGAAAATTCTATGGACGGAGGAGCCTGGTGGGCTGCAGTCCATGGGGTCGCACAGAGTCGGACAAGACTGATGCGACTTAGCAGCAGCAGCCGCAGGATTTCCCTGGTGGCTCAGCCGGTAAACCGTCTGCCCACAATGAGGGGGACCCGGGTTCAGTCCTTGGGTCAGGAAGATCTCCTGGAGAAGGAAATGGGAACCCACTCCAGTATTCTGGCCTGGAAAATCCCATGGACGGAGAAAACTGATAGGCTACAGTCCATGAGGTCGCAAAGAATCGGACACGACTGAGCGACTTCACTTTTTTTCAGCCACTTAGCAGCAGCAGCAACATATATGTGTGTGCATATGTCATTTGAATGTGTGCAACTGATTATCTTTACAAGTTATCCAGGCATTTTTACAAGTGGTCGCTTCTTTTCTTAAAATGTTTAACTTTTACTTCCCTTACCCACTGATCTTTAAAGGAAAATGATAATTTGCTACTAACTTGTAACTTATTCTGCAGCAAGGTCCGTCATCTTCCCCACGTCCTGTATGAAAGTATCTCTCACTTTTGTTTTGTGCTCCCTACAGCCATTAGACTTTGAAACAAAGAAAGCTTACACTTTTAAAGTAGAGGCCTCCAACGTTCACCTGGACCACCGGTTTCACTCCGCGGGCCCTTTCAAGGACACGGCCACGGTGAAGATCAGCGTGCTGGATGTGGACGAGCCGCCGGTGTTCAGCAAGCCAGTCTACACCATGGAGGTTTACGAGGACACTCCCGTGGGGACCATCATTGGTGCTGTCACCGCACAAGACCTGGACGTGGGCAGCAGTGCCGTGAGGTAAGAAAAAGCAGTGCTTGCTCTTCCATGTGTCAGAAAGAGAAAGAAAAGAAGGCTCTGACCAGGCTTGTATGCATGCTTTAGTTATAGAATGCAATGCTTGAAAATGCAACGACTTTTCGTGGTAAGTAGAATAAAGGAGGAGCCGTTGAGCTTCCCTGATAGCTCAGCTGGTAAAGAATCCGCCTGCAATGCAGGAGACCTGGGTTCAATCCCTGGGTTGGGAAGATCCCCTGCAGAAGGGAACGGCTACCCACTCCAATATTCTGGCCTATAGAATTTCATGGACTGTATAGTCCTTGGGGTCACAAAGAGTAGGACAAGACTGAGAAACTTTCACTTCATAGGGTTTGAGCAAAAACATCTGATAGCAATCCCTTTAACGGGGTTTAGTAGTGACCTGATGTCGGACTTGTCACTCAAGCTGATAAACCTGTTTTTTATCCACAAAAGGGATTTAGCAGTCAGCCTAAAAGGATGCATCTCACAAATAACGATATGAAGACATGTTCACGGTGCCCGAAATATCACACATATATAAAACACCTTTTTCAATTATTCTAAAATCTCTGTCCCCTACCCAAAGTTGGTGTTTGAAAAAAGATTGTTCAAGCATGAGTAATTTGCAGTTCATTTTTTTCACTGGCAATTGCATCTCCTAATAGAGGCACATTTGCAGTCAGATTTAAGGTAAGATGTGTGTGGAGTTGCTCGAAGTCCAGACTTGGCAAGGAGCTCCTTATTGGCATATGCCTGCTGAGTAGTGGGTCCGACCAAGCAATCAGTGAGACAAAGCAAGAGTAAGAAAGTGTAAGAAAATACTCACTCTTCCCCCACCCATACATGCCACTTATATTGCTCAAATATGGTAGCATTCCCTTTTCCACACTTATAAATCGATCCTGTAAAATATTTGGAGATTTGTTCTGATTCAACTTTGCTTCTTCTGGATACTTAATCTGTGCCTTGTGTCGATGCACCTATAAAGAGGGCAGGAGGAGTGGGGAATAAAAGAAAATAAAAGAAAAAACATGAACATATCTACAGAACAGAAACAGACTCACAGACATTGTGGTTGCCAAGGGCGGGTGTGTTGAGGGAGGGAAGGATTGGGAGTTTGGGCTTAGCAGATGCAAACTAAAATGAGACAGAGAAAGACAAAAATGGGGTTTGTTTGGAATCTTCTAACTCTAAAGGGGTGAAGCTTAGTATACAAAATCCAAACCAAAGAACACATTAAATAGACTTTTAAAGCAAAATAGTACTCTGTTGCATAGGAAAAATACATAGATGCATGCAAGATTTTAAGTCGTGGGGTAATGAGTGATTAAAACAAACAAATAAACCAAAAAGGTCAACCTTTCAGTGGTAGCCTCAACACATTCATAGCATAGAGAAAACTCTCAGGCAATGGCTTGAAAGCATAGAATCTCTGCTCTTAGTATGTGTCAAATCTATCCCTTAAAGTGGCCTGGATGCCTTCCTTCTTGAAGCATGTCTGTGATCAAGAGAGCACTCTGAAAGAGCACATTTGTCTTGAGAAAGGGAAGAAGTGCCATTATTTAGCACCCTTACCAATCAGGTTGAATCCTGGCTCATTTCCTCATTGGGTTCAACTTGTTATACATGCTCAAATTACAGCATGATTCACTTTCATTTAAAGTCCAAAAAAGTCTGTTTGTCATCACTGTTCACAGGGGCCTTCTCAAGAATCTGCTGCGTTAGTAGTTGTTATACATTAATCTGTCATCATTCATCAGTCTTGTTCCTGAACACCCTGTGTGTGCTGCTAGTCACTGTGAAAGTAGAAAATGCCTGCTGAGTAGATTTACAGGTAATTTCAAGAATGTAAGCAGAATGAAAGAAATATTGAAGGTTGTAAAGAAAACAGTAAAAAAAAAAAAAAGGTAAATAAATATGGATTGAAACTCTCTACACTTCAATAGATGAGACTTGTGGGACATAGTGGGACATGATATCTTAGGGGACATACTAAGTTGTTTAATTTACTATATGTTCTATTTTTGAATACTGATCATAACATGATAGGGTCAAGATAAGAATAAAATATTATTTTAATGAAATACTTTAAAAAAATCAGATCATTTACAACCAAAAAATATCACCCTGTAAAGGTAAAGGTAAGAATTACAAACTTCCAAGCATAAGGAAATAATTAGATCAAGATCCAAGTGTGTGGAATAAAAGAAGGCTACACTGTAGAGAAATTCTCCAGGTACAAGCCTATCTTCTTTATTTGTTTTTCATGTCACAGAAGCTAGTGTCTGACAAGTGCTACTTTGAAATAAGGGAGCATCCTTAGTCTTATTTCTAATGGGTGACAGCCAGATTCACTGGAGCTGTAGACACAGATGGATCTAATTGAGCCCCGTGAGGGGTTGTCAAAAAACAGAGGTGGTTTTGAATCAACATAAAAGTTGTCTTACTTTCATGTCCATGGAGGAAACAGTAGACTTGAATCAAGTCAGTTGAGGAATGTGGAGTATGAATCACTTCTAAGCCTGAAAACATGTTTGCTCACATAGGAATGATAGTAAAAATGTGTTATAAAAAACAAACATTAAGACGACAAATTACTTGGCATGTATAGGCATGTTCTCTTTGTTTTCCTTTGCTTTACTGCATTTACTGCTTTGCATTACCCTTTTCATAGGGTTATTGTGCCTGGTATTAATTTAAGGCTAGGATATTCCACATGGCTGAGTATTTTATTAATATTGTTATTTCATCATCACTTAGCATAGCAAAGAGCCAAAAAGCAATGGCATTAACTGTGACTACACAACCTTAGAAGAAAGGTTCAGTTAGGTGTAATGTCCCCACAAATAATCATGTCCTGTCCCCTCTTGCCATGAGCTTAATTTCTAGCTATTGTTTCCTTTACATTTCTAACCTTTGTCTTCTTGTTGTTGTTCAGTCCTTAAATCCTATCTAACTCTTTGCCATCCCATGGACTGCAGCACACCAGGATTCCCTGTCCTTCATTATCTCCCAGAGTTTGCTCAAACTCATCCATTGAGTCAGTGATGCTACCTAACCATTTCATCCTTTGCACCCCCCCTTCTCTGTTTGACTTCAATCTTTCCCAGTATCAGGGACTTTTCCAGTGAGTCAGCTCTTTGCATCAGGTGGCCAAAGTGTTGGAGATTCAGCATCAGCATCTGTCCTTCCAATGAATATTCAGAGTTGATTTCTTTTAGGGTTGACTAGCTTGATCTCCTTGCAGCCCAAGGAACTCTCGACTCTTCTCCAACACCACAGTTCAAAAACATCAATTCTTTGGCGCTCAGCCTTCTTTATGGTCCAACTTTCACATCCATATATGGTTATTGGAAAAACCATAACTTTGACAATATGGGCCTATGTCCACAAAGCATTGCCTCTGCTTTTCAATACACCATCTAGATTTGTCTTAGCTTTCCTTTCAAGGAGCAAGTTTTTTTTGTTTTTTTTTTTTTTTTTTTTTTTTTTAATTTTATGGCTGCAGACAGCATTCACGGTAATTTTGGAGCCCAGGAAAATAAAATCTATCACTGCTTCCCCTTTTCCCCCTTCTATTTGTCATGAGGGGATGGAACTGAATGCAATGATCTTAGTCATACTCAGTGGCAATTAACTAACAGCAAATAGTGATGTTGTAATAACTTATTCTTTGGCCAGAGTTTTTAGGCATCAGCGTGATTATTTTATAGCAAGAGAAACTGAGGCACAGGAAGACTCAATTATGACTTCAGTAAAATGAGAATGACCTCCTTGATGGCTCAGATGTTAAAGAATCTTCCTGCAATGCAGGAGACCCAGGTTTGATCACTGGGTTGAGAAGATCTCCTAGAGAAGGGTAACTCACTCCAGTATTCTTGCCTGGAGAATTCCATGGACAGAGGAGCCTGGTGGGCTACAGTCTATGAGGTCACAAAGAGTAGGACATGACTGAGTGATTAATTTGAACATAAGTAGCTAGATTCTAATCATTCTGCTAATAAGGGTTAATTGAGGTATCTATCTAGGTTTTTGCATTGCTTTGTAATTCCAGAATTTTTGGAAATACAAACAAAATTTAATAATGTTCAGTAACTTGTTAAAATAGATTGCCAAAACATGTCAGTAAAAAATGTACTATATTTGATTCTTTAACACGTGATAACCATGGACCTTGTTATATGCCTGCAAGCATTCTAAACACTTTACATAGGTTCGTCTTGTTTAAAACTTAAAATGACTTTACTTAAACCTGAAAAGAGTTGTACTCAAGTATGTGAAAATTGACATTGGTCTGGCTAGAAATATAAAATCAAAAAATACAGTTCTTTTGCTGACTTTTGTACATATGGAAAAAATTGCTATTACTTGAGATTCAGTACCTTTTATTTTTCTAGATCACTACAAAGTCCTTACAAAATTTAGATATAGCTAAGAATTTATTGACAGAATTCAGTGGATTTATGATACAGATGTATAGCTCTAATTTTTATAAGGATTGGATCTTGATATCCAATGAAGAATTTGCTTTTATTTTGAAACAAATTTTGCATTTTTATAATGAAATGATGGCTGAATGTCCAGATAATAGTTATGATGGTGAATGTCTTGAAGCTATCTTTCTGTGCTTCATGTAACTCCTCAGAATGAAGCAATGCCCAAGTCTATGTTTTTAGTTTCGCTGTTGTTTTTTCTTTGTTTTTGGTCACACCATACGGCATGTGGGATCTTAATTCCCTGATCAGGGATTGAACCCATGCCCCCTGCATTGGAATTGCTGATTCTTAACCACTGGATGGCCAGGGAAGTCCCTAAGTCTATGTTCTTTATTACTTACCTAAATGTTTGGGGTTTGTATTTTGTCTGCTAGAGTTTCAGTTTCTTTGCTTTCTCTCAAAAGGTTGAGTGCTCTATGTAAGTGTAAATTTCACAGCTCTTTTCCTCCTCTATAATTTACATACTTTTAGAGAATAGCTTTTTTTTTCTAATCAGTTATTTAG